TGATAATGTGTGGGAAATAAAGTCTGTGGAGGAAGAAAGTGTGTCTGGCTTGTTCAGGGACCAGGAGTCGGTCTGGAGCAGAAAGGGCCATGAGAGAGGAGACTCTAAAGGAAGGTTAACTCCTCCACAACTTACCACCTTTGCCCCCTTGCTGGATCCTCAATTAAGATGGGCAGGAATCTATGGTCATGGAGTTAGAGGAGATGATGCCCAAGAACACAAGCAGGCTGTGTTTGGTGTGATATGCAGCTCAGATGTCAAGGAATTCTGTCATAAGTAGCAAAAAAGAGCACCGAACAGCATTCCATGGGTCACTTTACCTACTGAGCTTCAGTTCCCCCTCTACAAAATGCATGGGTTGGCCTAGAATCTAGATACTGAATGATCTTTTGGTTGTTGTTGTTAATCTTCACACAAGGATTTTTCCCCCTTTGCTTTTTGTTTTATTTTATATTTTTATTGATTTCATAGATTAAGGGAGAGGAAGGGAGAGATAGAAACATTAATGATGAGACAGAATCATTGATTGGCTGCCTCCTGCACACCCCCTACTGGGGATCAAGCCCACAACCTGGGCATATGCTCTTGACCTGAATCGATGCTCTATCCATTGAGCCAAACAGGCTAGGGCCCCCCCCCCCTTTGATTTTTTTAGAGAGAATGGAAGGGAGGGAGAAAGAATGGGGGGAAGAGAGAGAGAAACATTGATGTGAGACACATTAATTGATTGTCCCCCTCCTCATCACATCAGGCCTGCAACCCAGGTTCATGCCCTTGATTGTAAATTGAACCCATGATCCTTGGATGTGTTGGGCTGATGCTCTAACCACCTAGCAACACCAGCCAGGACTAAATGATCTTTAAAATCTCATTCAGCTTGGTCAGTTCCTTCCTAACTGGCTTATCTCCTATTTTAAGTTAAAGACTCTGCAGGGTAATAGCTGTCTCCCTTATCATTATGAACTTCATAATCAGTGACTATCTTGGAGCCAAGGAGCTCATAAAGAGGAACAAAACTCCAAATGTTGCCAACTGCCAGATCACCAACCTGGGACCCAGAGGCAGGTCAAAAAGAACCAACCTGTCCCTTTATCAGCTCTCTGCCTCTCCTGACCCAAAGGGCAGGATGTCCTTACACCCAGACCCTCTCTCCCACCCCAATGCAGCACAGAAAAACCAGTAACTGTGGCTTCTTTTCTTTTCCCATCAGACTACAAGCATCCAGGTCTACCAGAGAAGTCCTCTCACTGAATCTCACCTCAAAGCCTATCCTATTCCCCTTTCTGCATAGACTCTGTCTCCTCCTGTTAAGAGGGAAAATGAATAAGTCAAGTAATTTGGTTCTCAGTTTTTCTAGGCTGGAATAGCAAGTATAACTTGGTCCCAGGGCTCAGAATGTTAGCTTGTGAGGAAAAAGTCTGCAACCTTCTCTATCTTATGATTTGAGAGGCTCTTCAAAGTCCCCTAAATGCTTTTCCCACCAGCCTATCTGATCGGTTTTGTGATTTGTACCCTATAATAGAGCTGGCCAGAACCTATAATAAACCCCCTTCAATTTATAGATGCAGACAGAAGCTTGCGGCCCAGAAAAGGGGAGTCACATGCCCAAAGTCACACACGTAATAGCTGAACCAAGACAGCTCCTTGGGTTTCCATTTCCTTCCCTGTAAAATGAGGGAAGTTAAACTGGATGGACTCTGAGGGCCCTGCCAACCTTTGTTCCACAAAAATAAAACTACCACCATGTTTGTGGAGCGTCTGGTGCCAGACACTAAGTAATTTTCTTCTTTAATTTTCACAGTGAGCTATGCTACAGGTAGTGTTGATGCTGTTACCATGCTTATAGCCAGTATATCCTTTGTTCCTATGTAAAATATCAACCCAACTGCCATTCTACTACTTGTATCATTCCCTTGGCTCTCCAGCCCTTTCAGCCTTTCAGCGGCTCCCACTAAGACACCAGTACCCTTGAGAAAGGGAATGTTTTAGGCTGGTCCCTGAGTAGTTCACATGTTATACAGAGGTTCTTCATTGAAGTCACCCAATTGGAATATTGAGGGCCTGGAGTTGGGGAACAGCAATCAGATGTCCCTTGGCCACTGTACAGTTCCTAGTCTGGCTTGGCCCAGCTGCTGCAGGAAGAGGAGGAGAGGAAGGGGGGGTCAAAGCCCACAGCAAGGCTATTGCACAACCCTTGGGGCCCAGCCTTGGATGATCCACCCAGGTTCTGAAGGTTTTTCTTTGTCTGCTTCCTTCCTTTCCTGCCCCCTCTCCTATTTCCAGTTCTGGGCCTCCCAACTCCCGAAGTGAATACTGAGACCACAAATGTGTCCAGAGACATCCTAGAGAGGCTGAGGCGCAGGGGAGGCTTAGGGCCTTCAGAAGGAGATTCCTGAAGCCAACTCGGAACCAGAGGAATTTGCCTGGTATTTTGTCACTGGGTTTTCTGCCTTAAATCTTGCCCTCAATTCAGTCCACATAGCAGCCAGAGTGTCCTCTCCAAGCACAGATCTGGTCCTTGCACCCCCCTTTAAACACTGTTTCATGGCTCTCCCCCAACTACACATAAAGTTCTACATCTGCAGTTTGGCATTCCAGACCTTCCAGGATTAGGTTCAACCAGTATCTCCATCCCACATCTATCATAGCCCTCCATACATCTTACACTCTAACCTCCTAATGCTCCTTTCCATTCCTTTAAACATTTTATGTGCTTGCTTGTTGTCATACCTTTGTTCATCTGTTTCCTTTTCTTGCCTTTTCTGCTTCCTGGAAAACCTTCAAGGTCCACTGGAATGCCTCCAGCACTGTGAACACTTTCAGAGTCCTGATAAAAATCCATCTCTTCTTCCTTAAGCTCCAGTAGAAGCTGGCTTATCCCCTGTATTATAGAAGAGCTGGCAATGTGCCCACAGTACAGGGGCTGGGTCTGAGCCTACCCAAGAGTGAGCCCTCATAAATGATGACTGGTTGAATCATTGGTTGAGCCATTAATTTCCTTGTTCTGTTCCTTATTTCCATTGGCCTCTATGAGGGGAAAAGGCACAGATTTGTTGCCTGACAAGAGGGGTAGTAGATGAGAACTTATGCCTCCTGGGTCTTAACTTAGCAAGCCCTTGTTCTTTTCCCCTTCTCCATCCAGATAAGGTAGCCTAAGTGCCATATAGCATGGGGCCCCAAAGGCCTTGTAGGAAATGTGGGCCAGTCCTGGACTGTATTATTTAGATTCTTTCCCCACGCCCCAACTTCTGCATTCTTAGAGTTGTTTGTGAATTTTATCATAGTCATAACTAACCGTCATCTGGGAAAGAGACCTTATGGTTAATAATCAAGTTTGTTATCTTTGATTGGTTGACAGTTCTACCTAGATAAAGGAGGGCTTTAGAACCAGTCTTTTCTGGTTGCCATATTTACTCAAGACTATTGAGGAATAGAGAACACACAGCAGTCTCAGCTTAGAGCACCAGGGAAGGAGAATTCCTAGCCAGTCTCAGGATAGCCTTATAGATGCAGGGGAGAGACCCAGCTCTGCTGACCAAAAGCATGTGGTCTGCTGATACCTTTATCAATAACAAAAGAACAGCCACATGAAGCCTTATGTGTAAGTGCTGGGCCAAGGGAAGGCTGTGATGATAAAGCTTGTGGAGTATGGTTAAGGAGTAGGGAATACTCAGTGAAGGTTTCCAGAAGGAAGTGGGTGTAGAGCCTTGTTTAAAGGGAATGACATGGTTTTTAGAGACTAGGACACAAGGCTAGGATGGTTTTCTATATTATAGACTAAGGTCTCTCCTTAGTCTATAATATAGAAGAAGGAAAAGGAACATTTAGCATCACCTATCATATGCCAGATATGCCATGACTGTGTCAGAAGGCAGGATAGTTGAGGTGCTGTGTCTTCTCTCTTGGGGGGCAGGTAAAACCCCAAACCAGACCTAGTGCCCCTGTCACTCCCCATCCTCCAGCCCATCCCTGTTCTCTTCTCCTGGGCCTGCAGGGGTTATCAGTCTCTCCCTGCTTCCCCAGCCATTCCTTTCCAATACAATTTCCTACAGAATCCTTCTCAGCAAAATTCTAAATAGGTAGGAATACCTAGAGTGGTTGCAGCATAGGATGCTTGAGAGGTCAAATGACCTAGCTTCGGGTTCTAGGTAAGGTGAAATCTAAGCCATCTCCAAACATGTCAGTGGTACCTGTGAAGTATAAAAAAGAAGAGTGCTGGCCGAAACCGGTTTGGCTCAGTGGTAGAGCATCAGTCTGCGAACTGAAAGGTCCCAGGTTCAATTCCGGTCAAGGGCATGTACATTGGTTGCGGGCACATCCCTGGTAGGGGGTGGCAAGAGGCAGCTGGTCGATGTTTCTCTCTCATCGACGTTTCTAGCTCTCTATCCCTCTCTCCTGTCTGTAAAAAAAAATCAATAAAATATATTAAAAAAAAAAAAGAATGGTGCTGAAGGAGAGTCCTGGGGAATACTTCCAATAATGCCACACGGACCTGCCAAGAGATGGCATGAGAGTCGAGAACTAGCCATCAAAAAGCAGGACTCTGTCTTAACTCTGCCTCTGAATATTCTCTGGGATTATGGTCAAGCCACTTATGCTCTGTTTCCCTGTATATATGTATGATGGATTTAGATTAAATAATCCCTAAATTTCTTCTAGCCTAAAGCTCAGTGACTTACAGGATAAAAAATAAAATAAAAAGACAGATGGGTTACAATGGCCAAGGAAGGCTTTATTCCACAGGTATTTACTGAGCATCTATTGAGTGCTGTCATGAGGGCTTGTGTATAGCAGTGAGTAAAACATAGTCCCTGCCTTCATGGAGCTTGCAGTCTACTGATGAAACAGACAAGTAAACAAGTAGAATAAACTGTGATGTTGCGATTTTAGCTGGGTCTGAGGCGTGAGATCAGTCAAGCTACAGGTAATGGAAACTATCCTTCCTCTTTCTGTGCCACCAGAGTGTCCTCCAATTCTTCCCCACCTAAATCCCTGTTGCTATGGAGACCACCAATGGGACTGAGCCCTGGTATCACAGTCTGCACGCTGTCCTGAAGGCTCTAAATGCCACTCTTCACAGCAACTTGCTCTGCCGGACAGGGCCAGACAACCTGACGGAGGAGCAGCGGGCTAACCTTCCTGGCCGCCATGACAACTCCTACATGTATATTCTCTTCGTCATGTTCCTGTTTGCTGCCACTGTGGGCAGTCTCATCCTGGGATACACCCGCTCCCGCAAAGTGGACAAGCGCAGCGACCCCTACCACATGTACATCAAGAACCGCGTGTCTATGATCTGATTGGTAGGAACTGGGGTGGCTAAAGATCAAGACAGCTTTGATCTTTAGGATTGTCTTCTAGGGCTTTCAGAACTCAGCCATGGGTCACATCAGGCCTCTGTTCCTTTCTGTAAGATCAACAAGCAACAGTGCTAGGGGATGCCATCATTGGGGTGGGAGGAGAGGGGCCTTGTGGAACAGGACTTTTTTCCATCAAAGATAGACTTGATAGACAGTGGGAACTATGAACAATCATATAGAAGAAGTAAAAGATAATAACCAATGACTGGTCCTGTGGCTGGAGTATTGGGGGCTGGGGGTTTGGACCTGAGGAAGGAGAAAAGGAAGTTGCAGCAGAGGGAAATAAAACAAGATGTACTGAAGACACACGTGTGTGTGTGTTATCTTCAGTGACCAGGAGAAGCAGCAATTATTATCCCATATTACAGGTAGTACAATGTTACTTATTTTTGTTCACATTTTATGTTTTTCAACCCATTTAACATTTGTGATTTTACCCCCCTGTGAGGGAAGCAGGGCAAGTGCCATGCTGTCCATTTGGGCCAGAGCAGCGCCATGAGTGGGAGTCAGAAACTCTGATCTCCTTGCCCAGTGCTTCTCAAAGCACTGTCCTGCACAGGAGTGGATCAAAGCCTAAAGTCACACAATTCTGGGGGCCCTCCTTAAAAAGAATTCAAAAATATCCTACTTATGCAATTATTACAAAAGTATATTACCACTAGAGACCCAGTGCATGAAATTCATGCCCTCTCGCAGTCCAGGAGCTGTCAGAGAATGTCTAACTGACGGCTTAAGCCCACTCCCCATGGAAGCCAGCCTAAGTCGGCAGTTGGACATCCTTAGCCTTACCACAGAGGGGAAGAGGCTCCCGCCACCACTGCTGTGCTCACCAGCCACGAGCCCAGCTTCTGGCTGAGCAGCGCTCCCCCTGTGGAAGGTCACTGATCACTAGGGGGCAGCTCCTGTATTGAGCCTCTGCCCCCTGGTGATCAGTGTGTGTCATAGAGACCAGTGGTTCTGCTATTCGGTCAATCTGCATATTAGCCTTTTATTATATAGGATGTTAATACATTCTTAGGACCCCTCCTAAGACCTAAGGAGCCATGTGTGTACAGGGCTCTGAATATTAGGCTTCATTAGCTCCATGGTTCATGTGACTCTCCAGCCATGTCTGGGGGTGCCCTTCCCAGCCACAACTCCAGCATTGAGATTTCACGACCTTAATACAGTCTCTTCCATTTTGATGAAGTTATGTGAGAAATTTTCTGATACAAAGCTGAAATCTGCTTCTACAAGATTCTCATCATACCTGGACGGCTATTCTATTAAAAGCAGCAGGGTGTGCAAGGCCGGTACCTGGTTCAGTGGAAAGAGAACCAGTCCTGATTCTACCACTAATGTGACATGTGACACTGTCTGGACTCTTCTCTCTCTGATCCTTTTCCCCCTAAGCACAATGAAACTGTTAGACTTGAAAGTCTCTAAGAGCTTTACCATTCTAGGCTTCGTGTACAGAAGGTTGAACCATATAAAACTGCTGTGTTTGTGAGCCAAAAGCAGCCAAATATCAGCAGGTGAATACTTTACAAGCTACAAACCACAGGCTAGAACTTTCCACTGTTTGGTTTGATTTCTATTTAAGAAATCTCCATTCAGGGTCTCCAAAAGGCCCTATTGAAGCATATGTTTTCATGTATAGCAAAAACCTGAAAGACTATTTTGATATCAGTTTTCTTTGAGGAGAAGGATTATGGGTGATGTTCCCTTTCCACTTTAAAATGTTATGTACTATTTGTTTTATTTGATTATAAGTATGTTACTTGTATAATAAGGGGGAGGGGCTCCTTCTATTTTGAAAATGTAAAAATAAATGCCTATGTGTTTCTCTTTTTCATTGTTGACACTATTACAAATATCCCTATTTTGCCCTCTTTCTCCCTCTCCATCTTTCACCACACCCTTCACCACATTGTTGTCAGTATCCACGGGCTATGCATATATGCATGTATATTAATGCCTCTGTGTTTCTTGCATGGAGGATCACAGAACATGTTTGCTGCCTGAGCAATTATGTTCACTCCCTGAAAAATCTGTGCTAAACCCATATGTGCTCAAACCTTTCCTTATCGCTTCTTTTTTTTTTTTTTTTTTAATATATTTTATTGATTTTGTACAGAGAGAAAGGGAGAGAGATAGAGAGCTAGAAACATTGATGAGAGAGAGAGTCATCGACCAGCTGCCTCCTGCACACTCCCTACTGGGGATATGCCCACAACCAAGGTACATGCCCTTGACCGGAATCGAACCCGGGACCCTTCAGTCCCCAAGCCGACGCTCTACCCATTGAGCCAAACCGGTCTCGGCTCCTTATCGCTTCTTGAGGGAGAAGGAGGAGACCTGCTGGAGAAGATATGGCAGATGGGAAAACAACAGACTCAAAGTCTGTAGCTAGATGGGACTTTAAAGACCACCCAGACCCAAATCCCAATAAAGTATGGAAAGGCAGTCAAGAGTAAGAATGAATGGGCAGGTGGTAGATGCTTAAAGAGTTTTGAAAAATTGAGTAGCTCTAGGAGTCAGAGAAAGGTAGAATTTGAACTAGGCTTTGAAAGATAGGGCAGAGTGAGTGAAGGAAATAAGACAAGGGAAGCGTGGAGACAGAAATGGGGCAAGACCACCTCTGAAGAGAGAAAGCAGGCCCAGTGTGGCTGCTCTGAATCTCAGTGTCCCCATCCAGGGAGGAGACTCCCCTTCACACAGTCTTTATACTCGCAGAGCTTAATTAATAAAATAATACAAAGTCTCTTGAAAGTTGCAGAAACCCAATATATATATTAGCAAAATCACAAAGGAGAATATATTAAGAGGAGTTAGGGGGTAGTCATAAGTTCAAAGAGAGGCTGCAGACAGTAGGGCAACTCCAGGGATCTCCTGTCCTAAAACTACTTACTTGTCTGAATTCACAAAATAGGGGCTCAATATATCTCACACTCCCAGGGTTGGACCAAATAAAATTCTAGGATTTTAAGGTGGTATAATGTAAACACTCTATTAGTCTATGATATAGCTAGTTCCCTCAGCCCTCCCTCCCTCTATTACAATTGTCTGGGAGTGCTATCCCATTCTTCCCTCAGCCCACAGGCTCTTTTGTCTGCACTCGGTCTGCCCTCTGCTGGCCAGATCCAGCAAATCACTTTGAGCCCTCAAAGCCAAATTTCAGTAATCACTCATTCAACAGATAAGATACTGAATGCCTGCTATGTGCCAAGCGCTCATTTAGGCACACACGGGATACATAAGTAAGGAAAAAAGATCAAAGAAACTTCCACCCAATAGATAAGAGCATTTTCTACCTGTTAGACAGTGATCTAAACATTTCACACACATTAACTCGCTTAACTTTTAAAACCTTCGTAACAACCCTATTTAGTAGATTCCTTACAATTATTTCAATAAAACCCACTTGTTCTTCATCCTGCCCCTTCAGTACTTTCAACCCAGTATCCACACATTGGCACACCGAGCCCAGAGTGTAGACCTGAACAGTCCCAGAAACGAATGGGAAAGTGATTTGGGGAAACGATGGCAGAGTATTGGCACAGGTAGACAAGTTGGAAGCAGAGATTGAGATAGGCATTTATGGAGGGAGAACCTGCAGGGGGGAGAGAAAAGTAGAAAGGAAAGGGGGAAAGACAAACAAGGTATGTCTCAGGTTATGACTAACCCTGGCCTGATGGACAGGGAACTGCTAAACCTGGCTGGGGCATAAATCACATGACAGGATTACACCCCTTTGAGTTAAAGGGGCCGGCCTTTGATGCCCCCATAGCAGTCAGTCATTGGTTGAGGCCCATCCATGTAGGGAGCAAGGAAAGCAGAGGGTTATGAGGAGGTTCCATCAGCTGAAGGGGGTTTTCTGGAGAAGGGTGGAACCTGTGAGCGAGTGCAGGCTAAAGCAGTGGGAGAAAGCTAAGCAAGGAAGTTGTCCTGATTGGAGATTAACAACAGCCTGGTTCTTCAGGAAGGTTCTAAAGCTCAATTTCCATCACAGAACTGGTCCCACCCTTTGTGACTATCTTCTTCTACCCCATGTCAGTCATCATGGGCTGCTGCCCGCCAGAGGAAGCCATTAACCTCCTAGGGCAGTGGTCAGCAAACTCATTAGTCAACAGAACCAAATATCAACAGGACAACGATTGAAATTTCTTTTGAGTGCCAGATTTGTTAAACTTAAACTATGTAGGTAGGTACATTGTTATTAATTTAATTAAGGTACTCCTAAGCTGGCCTTTGCTAAAAACTCAAGGGGCCAAAGAGCCGCATGTGGCTCTCGAGTCGCAGTTTGCCTACCACTGTTCTAGGGCTCTAGGAGGCTCACTGAGGCCAAGTCTTTGGAGAAGGGGCATCTCTGAGCTGATGGCAACCAAAACTCACAGCAGCTGGGGAAATGGGTCTGCGTGGGGCTGTCAGCATGCACTACAGCTGTGCTTTGGGGAAATCGAGCAGAAGCAAGAGTGTCACATCTTGAGAGTTCCTTCTGGTTTAAGAGACAAGAGGCACACACACACACACACAAAAAAAAAAAAAAAAAAAAAAAAAAAAAAAAAAAAGAACAAGACAAAGGGACTCAGAATAATGATTACTGTCCTCAACATGTAGCTTCCAAATTTACTATAGTGTAAGCATTTCTTTCTTTTTCTTTTCTTTTCTTATATTTCTATTGATTTCAGAGAGGAAGAGAAAGATAGAAGCATCAATAATGAGAGAGAATCATTGATCAGCCGCCTCCTGCACTCCTCCCACTAGGGATCGAACCCACAATCTGGGCATGTGCCCTTGATCGGAATCGAACTCAGAACCCTTCAGTCTGCAGGCTGATGCTCTACCCACTGAGCTAAACCAGCTGGGCAGTGCAAGCTCTTCTAATTAGTGAGGAGAGAGAAAGAACAGAAGTCCAGCACCAGAGATTTACTCTTAAACAAGCAAAGCAAAAGCTGCAT